ACCCAGCTGGTCCTGTGGGTTTATTTAGGGCCTTATTAGCCAGTCCTGTCCTGAGACAGGCGGCACTCACCTGACATGAGACACACCTGGATGGGGACAGTAGGATCAGCCCCTTCGCTGCCAAAATGGAGAAGAGGAAAGGCCCAGGAATGAATTCCCCCGTGCCCACGGTGCAGGGGGGGGGCAAGCTGTGATGTGCAGGAGGGGAAGACGCTGCCTGCTCCTCATCGGCAAGCTGATAGCAGTTCCAGGGCACCACAGGACCAAAGGCCCCTTCCCAGCTTTCCTCAGGGTCCTGGCCCTCGGCTTCCGCTCCCCTACAGGCAGCAGACCACTGCATTTCTTGGGGTGGTAGAAGTCAACCTGACCCACTCCTCCATGTGCACAACGGCAGAATCCCTCTTGTTTCCATACAGAGTGGGAACCAGGCTGGTGGCAGAGCTCCCTAGAAAAGCTGGGACATATGGTTGCCTCTGCCCTCTTCCCCCACCCGTGCATCTTGCTGTGGCTGGGAGGAGAGTAATGCCTATTGTCACAGGCAGTCTTCCTTGCTCCTGTACAGTGGTGCTGCGAGGAAAGAGCCACAAGGCTCTCCTTCCCAGTTCCCGGAAGCACGCACACCACATGTGGGGTCAGAGTGCTGTCGAGGCAGCTGGTGAGCCAGGAAGGCAGCGGCAACTGCTTTGATGTCTCTTCCTAGCCTGTCTGGCTAAGCCTGCACCTGTTATCCAGATGGCTTTGCGCATTCTGCCAATGGAGAGGCTGTTTCCAAGCCATGGGCAATCAAATCTCATACTCAGGGTACAAGCTGACTGTGAAGGGTGGGAAGGGTTCCCTTCCTCATCTGTCCAACACAGCGACTGCAGGCACCAGGAGTTCCTACAGATCCGCACACGCAAAGCAGGATAGTGGATGAGGTGGCTTAGTGATCTGGTCTGATACTACAGGACCCAACGGTTCCTATGGACTGGAAGAAAAGAGGCAACTTCAAAACCATGCATCACATTCAGACGCTTGGCTCAACACCTTCAACTGCCCTTTGGAGATGGAGACGGGAAAAGCAATCAGTTTGACTTTTATTTAACTAGAATCTCCAGCATGCCAGAATTCAGCATCAAATACATCATGAGCAAGGGCAGAGCCCACATACGTACTGCAGAGATCAATACAGCTCATGCTCTAGCTCCACCACAGTTAGCAAATTGGTTACAAAAGCTAGTGTTGTTGTGGGAAAAACATACTTCCAACCCTACACTTTTGTCCTGGGGTTGAATTAATTAGGGCTAATTCACAAGCAGACAATACAAAAGCCACCAATATAAGAAACACAGGGAGAAGCAAACTGCTCAGACACAGACAAATTGATCCTTTCTGTTACAAAGCGTTCATGTTTGGGGTCAGGGAGAACGCATGCAGGCACTGTAACTGTGCCAGAGTCAGGAGAAGCAGGCACGTGTTATGTAACATAGCCCACACAAATGCATGCAAAGATCTAGGTCTTCCCCACCTGGAAAGGGTGGAAGCAAGGGAAACTGGACTGGGGCTGATGAAGATCTGAGAACTGATCCTGCTGGGAAGTTCTTTGGGGTAGGGATTTATAGTGCCAAGTCCTGGTCCCCAACTAGAGGCTGCAGTAGAAATGCCAGGAGCACTGCAGAATGGTTGCTGCGTCCCTCTGGCATGGTCCTCAGCAGTGTGATGAGAGCTGTGCTCACACAAGCCCATCCTACCTCACATCCCTTAGCTCCTGCATGGGGAGTAAAAGGACAGGGACTCGTGACTCACCGTTGCTCACTGCAAACGACTTGCTCATGCTTGGGGAGTGGCAGGCCGCTTGCTGTGCTGTGTCCAGGACTTAACAGCTTCAAGGCCTAGAGAAAAGTCTACCCCTATGTACTGCAGACAGAGGGATGGCTAAAACTACTCTATTAGCAGCACTACTCTTATCCTGCAGGGTGACCAGAGGCAATTCACTGCTTCGTGCCTCAGCTTTCTCCTAAGGGGGGATAAAGAAACCTCCTTTGTAAAAGACCTGGCAGGGCTCTGTAGCTGGAAAACACAATAAAGAATATAGTTATCTAGTATGTATGGCTTGCCCTAGTCCTCAGCAAGAGGGAGAATTTTACCCACTTTTTTTTTGTTCAAATCCCCCCATTTCACAAAAGGCTTTAGGGTTTTTAAACGGAAAGAGTGAGATCCATTTTCTCCCACCCACCTAAAAACACACACACTTCTCCAAGGTATCCAGGCTCTTCTCACCAAGCACGAGATGAGAATTTATTCGATACGATTGCAAGAAAAAACAAACAAAAAATGAAACAAAAACCTGACAAACGACACAAAACAATCACGTACAACATGATGCAGAACAGAAGTTGGCTAGTCCAGGTTAACAATTCTCTAAAAACATTGTTAGCATCTTAGAAATCTAGTGTAAACATTACATGTAAAAATATACACGATTCCAAAAAATAAGCCACAATGGTTCAGACAGCGCGTTGAGTCAACTTTCTGGAATTACGGTTCTTGGCGCAAAGATGGTTCATGGTGCTGTTATGAAGAATGACCTGCAGTGGTTTCCTCGAGTCCCCCAGTGACCATTGGCTAAAATTTTCTAAAAGGATTGAGTATCTCACTTTAGCCACCTTGGTTTTCAGAAAGTGCTGAGCACCTGTCCTCTGTAAACCAGGCCTCTTCAAGGTGGCTTCAGCTGACTACTCAAAAAAAACAAGGCTAGGATTTTTCAAGAGAGCTGAGAGAGAGAAGCCCAACTTACTGCAACTTCTCTTTAGGCTCCATTGAAAAAAATCCAGCTCGAGGTGTCAAGGATCGCCAGTGACTTATGAAAATCTTGGCCAAGTGATGCGGAGGATCTTGAGAACACTGCAGGGTCAAGCCCTCCGTGACTTTTAGTCGATCAGGCACACCATGTTCAATCTTCCAAATATGGCAAATTACAGGTTTGGCTCCCGTTTCTGTGAACAGGATGCACGCACTGTGAATTTTACCCCATCTCCCTAGGCAGCATGATCGTATTTCCAGGGAGTTAAGAGGTGGTTCTTTCACCACCCTCCAGATGGCAAGCAGCAAAGAAAACCCACATTACACTTTGCACGAGACCAAGGCAACTAAAAGCTCAGAAACATGATTGGACTGTATTCTGTTAACAAGGCTTCAAGCATTTGCCCTTGTGTTTATGAGCAAACCACACACTCAGAAGAAAAAGGAATCACCATTTTTGCAATATTAGATATTTCAAAGGTCCAGCAAAGAACTAGCTTTGCAGCAACAGGACATGTTGCTTGTAAACTCAATGTTGAGGAGGCTTTGGCCTCTATTTAAGTCGCTTTCCTTTGGCTCATCTGTTAAAGATGTCACACGAATCCCAAAGAGATGAATTTCACCTACTTAATATTTACAATATGTATATAGGAAAAGAGTTAAGAATAAACCAAATGGGGGAGGGAAGGATAGGAGGGCATTCTTCTTTCACCAAAGAGCTAATATTTTATTGGATAAGGCACATGTAGGAGTTAAGACCATTTTTCAAAAGATCATTTGCAAATGAACGCCATCCGGTTGAGACAACTTCTCTCTCTCTCTTTCCGGGAGTTGATTCTATTCTCAGTTACTCCAAGTAAAGTTGGAGTGGCTCCACTTACAGCTACAGAGTCACTCTGGATTTACACCACAATTGAAAACAGAATCCAGCCCTAAAGTTTGCTGGTTTGACCCTGCAAGGTACTGAATACCCTTCAACTCTCTCTAAAGTCGAGGGCTTAGTACTTCATAGGTTCTTGATTAAGATTTCTGTGGCTGTTGAAAGGACTGATGTACTATGAAATTAAAAGAAATCTGGTGGCCTTACCTATAGATTCTAATACTTGTGACATAGGAAATGTATAGAAATAAGACTCATACTAGTTCTCAGGGGGACGACGACAAAAAACCCCCCAAAACAAAATACAAAACCTGTATCCCTCCCCTCGAGTTGCTTCTTGGGGAAAGACAACAATTCCCCTCCCTGCCTGTAGGCTGAAGGAAAGAGGTCAAAACACACCTGTACCATGGACAGCACACATGGGTACCAATCCCACATGGTTAACTAACGGCTAGTTAACAAGACATATATTAAGCTTCTCTTCTCTGATAGGCAACACATCGCAGAACAATTCACATTCATAAGCTTGGATTTGGATCTCATTTATAAAATGGTAGATACAAGGATGAAAACCTTCACTTTTCATAGTTACCCCCAAATCAAATAGGCAGTCTTAAATATGCAGATTAATAAAGTTATCCAGCACCTGGCTACAGATCTGTAGCCCAAAAGATTATTGACATTGTAGGAGTTTGTCAGTTCTGAGATGTAATCACTAGATTGCTATGTGGGGTCAGCACAAACCTAGACATGGTGCAACTGGTCTCCACATCTCATGCTGGATATCCATAAAGGGGTGAATATCACCCACACAACTGAATCCAAAGCCTACTGAAGTCAGTGGGAGTTTTTCATTTGATGCCAATGGGCTTTGGACCAGGATTTCAGTGAGCAAGTTATTAGACAAACAAGATGAACCTGCACTTCCACAGCATACCGACCTGACAGATCAGAAAGAAACAGAGAAAAGCTAGAGTTCCAAAATAATGATACCCTACCAGGTGACTAGAGGTTCTCCTGGATCCTAAATACAATTAAAACTCACACATGGTGGGTGGTGTTCCCTAAAGCATTCTCCCACTTAAAAAACCCTAAGGAAGAGAAGTTGTAAAACTTCAAAAGGCCTTATGAACAGCAAGGGAGCTCCACCTACGATCTTACCAAATAAATGATACATTTTCCTTTGGGAACAAGAAGTTCCAGGGATGCATCCAGAAGTATAAATGCCAGTTAATACCCATTTTGATGGAAGAAAGCAGTGACGCATTGTGCACGTGATAAGATAGGAGATTGGGGGAAAGA